CCCCCCCCCCCCCCCCCCCCCCGCCCCCCTTTTTAACCACCAGTACCCACTGCATTTTTCGTACCCCCTGGGTTCAAATGAATTTGGACCGGAGGGGCACGCCGATTCGGCTACTGCGTTAACGGCCGCCCCAACGGGTAGGTACTGGTGGTTAAAAAAAAAAAGACGTCCTTGGATTTGGATGCCAATTTGGAGATGATCCTAAGCCAAAAGATATGTGTATTGCAATGCTGCATATCATATCTTTTTTCCAGATTTTTTTGGGAGGAGCGAGGTGGAGCGGATCAGGACATCTGGACCGGACACCAGACCGGTAAATCCAGAACCGAACACTCCGCGCTGCAATCCGGATGGCCATATTGTAACCATGCTTTTTTCCGATGCGCTGTGCTGCCTGGCCCTAGAAAAATCGAAAGGCCGCGGGCACAATCTAGCCCTGCACTGCCTGCCTTTTCCTTCCAGGCGGCCTGAGCTGCGATTTTGCTGCACGTTAACCAGCACATTGGAACAAGATACCAGGGAGACGGATCAGTGGAGAGTGTACGTGTGGTTTAAGACGTCTATCTGATTTCAGTGGAAAGGGTTTCGCAGTTGTGATTTCAAGACGTCTCCCAGATAGGGCTATGTTTTCATGAGGCTTCCTTTTTTTGTGTTTGGGTTTCTGGAATACAGTTTTGGTAAACATGAATGATTGACAATAATTTCTTCAACGAACTGTTCTGGTTTGTCTCGTCAGAGATGGCTTGCTCCCCTTTAGGATATCTGTATGTGGTCCTCTTTCAACACAGGAGCAAATTTGCAGTAGATCTTTGGCTGATATTGCTGTGGTCCTTCTTGTCCGCAGCTCAGCTGGCTTACGTGTGCTCAGAGTTTTGCTAAGCAATGTGACTTCATCTACAGTGTCCATTTGTGCATCACACGACGACTACTGTCTGAAAGCAGGGCAGTCGTAACAGTTAGTGGTCACGTAATTGTTCTATGAAATTGGTTGTTTTGCTCCTCTGCTACCTCCTGAGAAGGCTTGTTGTTAGGCCCTGGAGATGGAAAAAAACTTTAAAAAAGACCCCTGGGTATTGCAGTCTCAGTCGAATGTACCAGTTGAGGAAAAAAACCCTTGCTTTTGGATTGTGAATCTAATGAACCCACGGAGAAAACGACCTCTGGGTGTTGGATTGTCGATCTCATTAAGCAGGGCCGTTGTAAATGGTAGAGGTGCGATGTTCTGCTTGACGGCATTGACTATGTGCTTATGCTTGACAGAGTTATTTAGGATTTTGACAGGAGGTACTCGTCTTACCACAGTTTGAGCGCTCTGGGTCGATGACCTATCTTATCTTCAAAACTTTTTCTTTCCTAGTCCAGAAACCTGTAGCACACTAAAGTGGCTATACGTACCAATGTTTTTGCACGGCGCTTTGGACTAATTGGGTGGTTCCGGGGATTCTGACTTCTCTGTTTTCTTTGTTTATGGGGATTGTAAGTTCTGAGTTGAAAGATTAACATGGGCTGACAAATGGGTGGAAGTAGCTTGCGGCCCCGTGGTGCAGGTGGGGTGGGCAATCTCCTCACCAAAACGGAACTGAACACAATCGTATCCTTTGCAAGAAACATGCATGCAACACTGGGTCTGCCTCCACGGCACAGCATCTTAAACGTATCTGTGCCCCTACGTCTCGAATATTGTCCCGATATGTTTAGAATGCTCAGAGAGTCCAAATGTACCTGGACCAGTGCACAGCCCATACGTCTCGAACGCTGTGTAGAGGACGGAGGCTCACTGTTTAAAGTTACAACAAAGAAGAGTTCGTCACCTGAAAACAAAAAGGTACAAATGCCCTTCCCCTCGAGATTGAAGGGTCTCCCTCCACTGCCCTTTATTCTACACATACCTGGACTGAAAAAAATGGACCAGGTACATTCCAAAATTTTGGGCGGACACTCGTTTGTTAACTCTGGTTTCTGGCAAAAGAAATCGCCTCCCAAGACACAAAACGGCGGTGGGGAGAAAACTGTCTACCCAAACTGCATCCTCCTCTCCTGGAAGTCGAAAAGGCACTTTTGGTACACCGATTGGCAAAAGCACTGAAAGATGACATAGAGCAAAAAAAAAAACGAAGAAGTGGAACCAATCTTATTCGTGGATGGTCAAGTAGTGCACCACGACAAAACGGTTAACTCCACCGCAGAGCGCATCCAAGTTTGCCGATCGCGGGGTCGCCCTTGCAAGATAACCCCATGCCTATCCACGGCAGTCATCTTCCCTCTCCACTAAGTCCTGCATGGTCGTTTGTCGGCGCGCAGCGATACAGTTAGTCATGCAACCCATTTCTACTCACAAACAGCCGTGGATCATCGCGATCCAACACGCTTCGATGAAAATTTGACCAAGAGTTGGTGCGCAGCGCGCAACGAGAGTGCTTCCGCGTGGCCAATGCTCCATAAGATATAGGATGTAGTGAAAAATCTGTTCGGCCGGTCTGAGCCAGCCATGGGAAACCAGTGCAACCTAATGCATCTGACGTGAAACACTGCACACAGAAGTCGCCCACGGTTTTGAGACAGTGAACATGGTTGTCTAGTGATGCTGACGTTTTCTAGCTCTCTCCTGCTGTGGAAAGGGAGCTACCGTCTTCACCCGAATAGAATGCCTGGTCATTATGGCTGTATCTGGACTTAAAAGTTGCAGCAAGTACAGCTATAATGATTGGGCGTTCTATTCGGGTGAAAACGATAGGAAAGAAGAGCATATGTAATATGTATTACTAATTTACTACTGAGTTTTCTAAAGATTATTGGATGCATGACCTTAGCCTTATTGAAACTTGTCTACGGATTTGATTTATTTATGGGATAACTGCTGGCTTCATTGTGCCCACTGCATGTTGCGGATAGCCTTACCGAAACTACCGGCTTCATTATGCCCACTGCATGTTGCGGATAGCCCTGTCACATTATGACCGGAAGTTCCATTCAGGTGAAAACGGATAGCCCTGTCTTCTATGTTCTCTTTTACTTACTTTCATGCGTCACCTGCATGTCTTCTATTGTCTGTGGTGTTTCGATACCGTTTTCTATTTTTTCAGTATGAATGAGACAATATTTGGGGAGACACCTCAAGCAGCGGCTATGCGGGTTATCCGAGAAAGAGACCCGTAAGTTTCTGAGCATACTTTCTTGCTTGTCGTCTTCTTGTTCCTGCCATCTTATAAATGACTCTAGAAGTACCTGCACAACTAACTCCTGGATCGCTTAGCGGACGGAGCCCTCAAGTTTTCATTTCATCGGTTGCGTTGCCTGTTGTCATTTTCTCAGCTGCATATGTTCACATCACACAATGTGTTTATTGCTAAATGCTTTGAAAGTGCTGGCATCTGTGTTCTCCTCTTTTTCAGACGTTCTTTGGGAGTCACTTTACCTGTAGTCGGGGGCGCAGAGACTGCCATGCTTCTGAGTTGTGAAGTGTTATCTTGCAAGTAGCATCGGAATCTCATGGCTTGAGCGGTGAAATGCCATTTGGCACTTGGCATCGGTATCACATTTCAAACTTTTTGTAAATGCTACCCTTTTTCTGGGTGTGGCTGAGCCATTTGGTCTGGCAAAGCTATTAGGTTGAGGGAGGTGGGCAGAGCAGAGGAAGAAGGGGAGAACAAACTGTAGGGAGCAGAGCACATCCCATCCGGAGTAACAAAAGCAGATGCCTGCAAGGACTGCCATAACGGAAGGAAGAAGGGGCTTGAGGAAGATCGGTACGGAACGGAAACGGTATGATACCAGAATTCGCCGTGGGATGGGGCAGGGAAGAAAAAGCGGTCGGATGTACACTGGTTCCGTTGGAACAGGTCTGGCACTCGTTGCGTGGGTATTTATGTGATTGGCTTGTGTTGTTTCTTTTGGCAGGTATTTCTCCTTACCGGAGTTTGTGCAAGACGTTCAGCGTGATCTGAAGCCGGTGTTGACTGCTTATCTATCAGTGAGTGTCTGCTGCCGGGGCGCAGATCTTTGTTTCGCGTTGTTTTCCTGCTCTTGAATGTGTCGACTTGTGGGAGGGCATGGAGCACTGATGCTATTGTCTGGGAACTGTGGACTCGACCAAACAAGTTTAGATCCTGGTGAATCATGGCGTGTCGTCAACGTAATAGACGTCAATTTGTCCAGACCCTCGGTCTAGCATCAGCAATAACGAACGTGGAAGTAATGTGTCGACTTGTGGGAGCGCATGGAGCACCTGATGCTATTGTCTGGCAACTGCAGACTCAACTGTAGCCTTTATGACCAAACAAGGTTAGATCCTGGTGAATCGTGCCGAGTCGTTAATGTGATAGACGTCAACTTGTCCAGACCCCAACTTGTCCAGACGTTAACGTGATAGACGTCAACTGGTCTAGCAGCAGCAGTAATGCAGACAGAGCAACCTGGAGGTAAAGCTGGAAAAACAAATTCCAAAATGGGAAAAAAAAAACGGCAAAAAAAAAAAAAAAAAAAAAAAACTNGGCAAAAAAAAAAAAAAAAAAAAAAAACTGCACAAAGAAGAAGGGTAGTGACACAGCAATCTCATGTTTTCCCTTCTGGTGCAAACACGTCAATTTGATACTTTGTGCCAACGCGCATAGCTCAGTTCGTACACCAATACATTATTGAAATACAGACCTGGGTTCAAGTCTGGAAGGAAGTAAATGAAATCAATTTGATACTCTCCTTCTGAGGTAGATCGTTATCCTGACTTGAGAGTCTTCAGAGTCTTCACTGACTCTTCAGACTGTTTCATTGTTTATGGTCTCGGCAAAACCAAGGAGTGCATTTGTCGAACACCTTATACCGAAGGCAAGTGAAAAGATGTCCTTGCTTGAAGCGGGGAGGGAGTTGGAGCTGCGGAGTTTTCGGGTGGTGGTGAAGAGGAGTGCTATTTAACTCCGTAGACTGTAGGCAAATCAAAGTATCCTCTTCTGCTTGAAGGGGGGAATGGCATCGGAGCTCCGGGGTTTTGGTTGGTGGTGTTGGGGTGAGGGGGAGGATGTAGGGGAAGGGGAGTGCGATAGTGAATGGGGGAGAATAAAGGAAAAGGGGATGCAGGAGATGATATTGACTCCGCATGAGTTTCCCTGACAGGGAGGACGGAAGGGGCACGTAGCATTTCTGAGAGAGACCACTACAGGACAGATCACATAAAAGATGCTGAAGAGAAACACATACAAAGGTTCAAAAATGACAAACAGTCTGAAACAGATGTATATAAAGATGGACACAACGGCTAAAAGAGACGGAAATACAGAAATACAAGGCTGAAAAACTGCACTGTCGACGTAACCGAATACTACAAGAAGAAATATCCAGAGCTATGTTCTTCCTATGCTCCAACACAGAAGTCATTCCAAGCACTCTGCCATTGTCGCGGTACTGACTGTCCTAAAATGGCCTGAAACAGAGTACTGCAATGTTCTTGCAGCTCTCAGTGGGCTGTAACACGAACGGGGACATTTTGTATGATTTTTGTAATTTCCTGGAACATTTCTGTCAACTCCCTAAACTGCTGCTACTCAGGTACTACTGGGCCTAATCTTCGTTTCAGACCTGGGCGGATTGTCGTTTTGCTAGTGCCTCAGACCGTTACCCTTGTCACTAGCAAACACAAACCCACAACTGTTAGTGGTGTCTTAGGTTCAGTAGGTTAGTATAGAATTGTCCTTCGGGACATCCATTAAAATTGGAACGATACAGAGAAGATTAGCATGGCCAAAAAAAAAAAAAAAGAATGGGTTCAGAGTTTCAGGGATCTTTAGTCTTTGGCTTGGAGCAGTTGTTCAGTGCTCGTGTTGAGGCCGCCAGGGTGCTAGGGTTCTGGGGCAGCAGAGAAGTCTACTTTGTCTGCTGAGCCTGCCAGCACTGTATCTGTGCTGTGGCTTTGCCGTATCTTTTCCTCTGGGGCAGCCGTTCTTCTCACTCTTCAAGCTGATTGTCCTTCTTCCTGTTGCTGGTGCTTCTTGTTTTGAGAGGTCTCCTTTCTAGCTCTGGAATATCTGAGTGACTCCTGTACTGCACGGTGCTGCAGAGATAGTAGAAGTAAGGCGCTGGAGGTCTACAGGAGTTTATGGCTGGGCTCTGTGAATTGGGCTGTGCGCCATAGCTGGCGGTGTGGAGGTTGATAAAGCTTGTTTCGAGTTTGTTCAAGGCGGTATAGTCTCGGTTGTGATATCCGGGTTCTTTTGATATCTCCCAGTTCTTCTTGATTGTTAGACTTCCGCTGTGCAATCCCTCTCCATGTCTGCATTGTCATCGTGGGATGTCTATGGGGACATGTTGATGCTGGGCTGGATTGCGTTTTAAATCAGTCACATAACAGTGCATCAGAACTATCATTAGTCTGATGTTTCGACATCCATTAACTCCTTAAGCATAGCACGTCTGTTATGATTCCATCTGAGAACTCTTTTTCTTTGGTCCTTGCTCTCCTCCAATCCTCCCCTCGTTATCTGGAAGCCATACTCCTTTTCCAAAAGTTTCTTCTCCCTCTCTTCGTTGTAACACAATCTGCTGCCATACTCCTTTTCGAGGCAGGTGAAGCTGCACTGGTCCTTGTGAGTGCTGATTTTATGTACATGTGATGTGCAGGGAGATCTACAGGCACCAAAGAAAAAAAGTGCTCCTCCAATCCTCCCCTCTTTATCTGGACGCATCTTTCGACAGTTTTCTTCTTCCTCTCTTCATTGTAACATAATCTGGTGCCATACTCCTTTTTGAGGCAGGCGAAGCTGCGCTGGTTCTTGTGTGTGCTGATTTGATACACATGGTGGTGTGCAGGGAGATATACAGGCACTACAGAAAAAGTGCTCCAAAGAAGTGGTGCAGAGATGTGCAGCAGAAAGGAAAGCCATGGACTACATGGGAGTTACATATCTGAACAAGGTGAACTCTTCAACTGTTCATCAACAATTACCTGTGTGCACAAATGCATTGGGAATCTGTGGCTGAGCGTCGGCGATGGCTTGCTGTCATCGTTGTTTGTGGATGTGTATACAGTCTGTCACCGGTCTGATTTGTCATCATGGGTGCAGTCTGCACCGCTGGTTGCCAGGCCACTGTACCAGCGGCTGTTGTATGGTGGAACTTAGCAGTGTGAAAGACATGTTCGGCAAGTGATGACATGCACACGTAGCGTGCTATTTTTGCGGACGTTGTCTGTTGCATGTGTGGTTGTGGATGTATGTACAGTCACCAGTCCCATTTCTAAATTCTCATCATGGATGGTCTGCGCCTTGTGTTGCCCGGCAATTGTACCAGCAGCTGTTCTACTGTGGAACTCAATGGTGTGATAGACATGTTCTCCAATTGATGACATTCACACGTTGCATGCTATTTTGTGGACGCCGTCCGTCGCTGAGATGGTCCTGCTATGTTTGTCCTCACGGACATCTATAGCTGCCACCTTTCTGCATGTGACATTTCTTGCTGCATCTTGTCGCCGTCTGTGTTTCGTCGTCCTCTCCAAGCTGCATCTTGCTGCCCATCTTCTTCTTCTGGTATCCTTTTCTTCTGTGGTCTCCTTGAAAACCCACCTCTGGTCTATTGTGTGGTCTCTTGTTGCCGAGTAGTCTTCTAAAGATTGGACCAATTCCATCCCCACCCCCCGTCTTCGTGGTCCTTGCGAACCGGCTTGTCCACTCGCCATTAAATCGAAGATCGACAAGTCAGACTTAACCCCTTCAAAGTTCAAACCCCTTAACCGGCTAAACCCCATTTATATCCCCTTCCCCTCCTGACCCCCAACAGACAACATAGAAAAGCAGAAAAAAGCACCTGGATCTGGACTGGTCCTGGTGGGTGCGGGAAATGTTACGGACTTCGCCAGGGCTCGATCCCTGGTCTATCTTTTGCTGTTTCGGCTGCACCCCGTTTTCGGCCTGGCACCCTTTTTCCAAACCCCTCCTTTGGTACCGTAGGAGGATAACTGGCACCATGCTGCAATTAGGGCGCCACTTTCAAATACTGCATTTTTCAGTTCTGCCCTCGGGGCCTTTGCAGAAATGCCCCTGGTACCGTACGTGTCACCGGTACTTGTGCCGGCTCCCCGTACGGTACGAGGACGAGTCTCGACCAGTTCTCTGCTGCTGTACTCGTACTCAGTGTGACTTGCCGTTTCGGCATTCGGAATCCAAGACTTCGACTTTGTGCCTTGCCACTGTGTCTGCGTCCGACCCTCAGTCCGAGTCCGTCGTGTCGAGTGAGTGAGTGTGTGTGTGTGGTCTCACTCTCTCCCTCTCTCTCCCTCTCTCTCATCTCCCTCGGCTCACCCTCAGCCTCACGCTCGTTACAGGAAATGCCCCACCGTCAATCCAAGAAACGAAATGAATAATTCCAGGTTTTTAGTTGAGTCGCTGAAGGGGTCACGTGGACGACCTTCCTGGACATTCAGCTGGGCATCCCAGGTATTTTAGGTATGGATACTATGGAACACGTTCTTTTTTTTGGTTTTTCTTTCCCACATATCGGTAGGACCATTAAGTTGCATGCAAAGTATCGAGCCCCTTTCGTTAGCGATGCTGGGCCTCAGAACAAAAGTTCGTGGTGCTCCAAACTTTCTCCTCTCTCAATGTTTATCAGTGTTTCTGAACTAAAAAAATGGTGCAGGCTGCAGATGAAATCAGGGGCAAGAGAAGGAAGCGTGGTGGTGCCGAATACAGAATTGTAGATCAAACCTGAAATGTACTAAGCATGCTATCAATGCCACATTCAAATTTAACACTCTCGTGGGTGCTGAATCTTATAAGGTTCGTAACTCTGTATATAACGCCCAGCCTGTGTTATTTTCGGCTAAATATAACGCTCGACTTTTATAGGGTGAGTTAAGTATAACGCCCGACTTTATAGGGTAAATTAAGTATAACGCCCGACTTTTATAAGGTAAAGTTAAAATGTAATGCTCTATTTTTATAGGCTGATACAGCAGTTAACAGATCACGATAACGAGTTTGAATTTCGAAGGAATCAGAAGTACATAATAATAACATTAAGCCACTTCTTGGTGGCGGTTATTTCATCTCATCAGAAAGCGATGGTTGTTGGAAGTTGTTTGGTTTTCGAATATTGTGTTTCTTTTTTGCAACGAGTCTAATGTTTCCGAATGCGGGTCTAATAATTTACTGTGTCCGCACAGCTGTTGCACATCTCCGACGTGGAGGTCAGGGAGACGAAGATGGTTGGCAAAGACCCTACAATTATCCTAGGGGTGAGTTAATTGGCTGACCCTCCCACACTTTGCTTACCGGCCAAGGCTAACCATCGTGGTTTCCTTGTGGTTTGTGGTTTTCAAACTTTTGCTTGGTTTACTATGATTGCTTCTCCCTAACTTTTGTGGTTTGTTTGGTTGACCGGTCTACGGGTTCTCCGTTGTCCATTGACCGGTCTATGGGGTCTCTCTTAGCCCTGGGCTCTCCATACTTCGTCTCTGTGATCTATAATTTATAATTATTATTATTATTATTATTTTATTATTATTATTATTATTTTATTATTATGTTAATATTTTTCAAATAAAAAGAGGGCCTTATGGTCCTGGCTCCATATCCATTCTGGGGAGCGTCAGTCCGGATCCATTTCCACCGGCAAGTCAAGAGAAAAATACAACAGTATACGCACACAAGCTTGCTTCAGTCTGGCCGAAGGACCCCTGCACAGCATTGATTGCTCCATCTTGATGGATTCACTGTCAGCTTCTTGCCTTTGTACCATAGTTGCGGCGAACCTTGGTGTGCGAATTTGCGCACCACGCGCAGCGCACTTGAAAAATTAGGTCCAAAAAAAAAAAAGTAAAAAAAAGTAGGGGTTTTGTAATTTCTTAGGGCCCCCAACTCGGCAAAAATGTTAAACTCACCGCGCAAACTCACAAACCGGCCAAGCCCACGGCCCAAACTTTTCTTTTGGGTAAGGGCTGCTGAAAATTCGATTTGCGCAGGCCCTTCCCCCAAAAGTTTCAGCATGGCGAGGCACAAAATAGGGCTCATTCCAACTTTTGTTTTAGGCGGGGTATGAAAGCTTTCCTTCCCGCTGCCTTCTGCAAATCCCACACAGTAGTGGGGTAAGTTCGCACGAAGGGGTACTTGCCTAATAACGGCCTGCCCCGCGAAACTTCACAGAAGTCACAAATTTCATGTCCTATCGCCAGCCGACCACCAGTATTTGCTGAAGATTGGCGTTCAGGTCCGTATGTCGGCAGTTATGGGTTAGGATGAAGATGCCCGTGGCTCTCTCGTTTGTTTGTTTTTGTTTTCTTAGGAATACGTCCAGTGGGGATGCACAAAAGACATAGCATATGGCGGTGTATGGTTCCATGTTTTAGCAGAAGATTCATTCTACTAATATTATATACATTTGGTGAGTGGTGGAGGGAGGCCCTGAGAATCACGTGGAGACACGAACAGGGTCTAGCTGAATTGGTGACCCATRACTGCCGAGCTACAGCCCTGAACTTGAATCCACAGCATATATTGGTGGTCTGCCCACATCTCTCCCACACATGACGAGGCTATCCTTCTCGATGAAGCTGGCCCTCAATGGCTCCACATGTATTGTAGGAGCCATTCGAGGTACCTGCAGGGGGCCTCAAATTGACGAGAAGGGGACCCTTTGTTGTCTCTCTCTCTCTCTCTCTCTCTCTCTCTCTCTCTCTCTCTCTCTCTCTCTCTCTCTCTCTCTCTCTCTCTCTCTCTNTCTCTCTCTCTCTCTCTCTCTCTCTCTCTCTCTCTCTCTCTCTCTCTCTCTCTCTCTCTCTCTCTCTCTCTCTCTCTCTCTCTCTCTCTGGGCCTGTCTATTTTTTTTATCGCGCACAGAATGCAACTCGCCCAGCGTGCGCATCGTGCACAGCGGACAGCACTGCGTACTGCGCACAGCGCACAGTGCGCGCGCTGTCGTTCCAGCGCACAGCGCAGTGCGCCCTGCCCCGCACCGCACTGCGCACTGGTGCGCCGCAACTATGCTTTGTACTCCTCTCAGCTGGGGTGTACCCTGGCTGTCGGGTCTACATAAAGCTCTGACTCTGAGAGATCCCAAACCCTGTCCAAGCTCCATTGCTCGTTGTTGTTGGGTGCTCTTCGTGCCTCCTGAGATATCCCTGTTTTCGTCTATCCTTAAAAGCCTTGCTGTTGTCGTCTTCTTCGGTCCACCTAGTTGTCCGGCTATACCCAGATTGTAGCTAATTCTTCTTTTGTCTTGGTAGATATCCCGACCCGTTGCTGCATCTGAGTTGTTTGTTGACCCCTGCGGTTTTCGTTCCTTGGTCTATGGGTTCTCCAACTTCTCCCTCGTCCTTTTTCTACAGCGTCAGCTTGGTTTGCTGTCATCCTTGGGATTTGACTTATTGCTGTTGTTGTTTGCTGCTCCCGCCCGACTGATTCTTGAGTGGATGCTTGGATCGTGTGTGTGTTTGCCTCCCAGTTCCGGACCCAGCAAATTTATTGCGTAAAGGACAAGCACGGTAACATCAAAGAAGGGGCTGAGGTAAGTTTCAGCCAATTACCTCTCTGTCTGCCAATCCCGCAACCTGATGATGACAACGATCTTCGGTGGCAAAGAGAAGTCCGGGGGCAGGGGTTGGTGGTCTTTCCGTGAGGGAGACGCGGAGGGATCATTGTTAGTCAAAAGCAAAAGAAGAATTTTGGGTCAGAGCTTGAACCTCAAATAGAGATCGGACTGCATGTCGTCCCTTTGTAGAGATGTGTGAGTTTTTGGCAATTAACAAGCCTTGAAGCCTGAGATTTTGTGTCGGTGGCTAACACAAAGACCGAGCATTTTGCCAGTAGTTGCGCCTCCCATCTACTTTGCCCACCCCGTATCGGGTAGCAGAAGTGGCTTTGGCCAACACTCTCCCACACACCACGCACAACCCACGCATGCTCACACTAACACCCGTGTTAGTCATAGACCCTACTAATATCGATCAGGGGTATCAAGGGGACTATCACAGTCGGCTGGCGCTAAGTGCGCCGCACGCGGTCATGGGTCTCGAACCCACCACCTCTTGAATTTCCACTTGCGTGCCTAACCAACTAAGGTAGGCCATTGGATTATTTCGCAAACATGTGTTGGCTGTCAAAAACAAAACACTTAAAAAATATTTTTCCTTGGAGATCAAACAGCACATGGCTTATCGTCATGGCTGCTGTCTATTCTGAGGAGGCTTAGTCCGGTTCCTTTTCCATTTTTTACGCAACTCATAGAAAATAACAACAAACAGCTTTGGTTGCTCTCCTCAACGGAGAATTAATTTGTAACTGCAGGTTGCTCTCGGGTGCTTCCTTCCATTTTAGGCTTTTCCATTGTGAACAGTTCTTCTTGTGAGGGTGATGTGCCTCTTTGCAACCATGCTGTGCATAGGACCTCGGCAGGACCAACCGTACTGGGTTGCTGTGGATATATCATATAGCCTGACCACTGTGCTTTTGAGGCTGGGGTGCAATGGACCGATTGCAGGCTTACGTGGTGCTGAAGATAAAGAGAGTGCTGAAAAATATGTTGAGTGGTTGATTTCACCATGTCTTCCTGTGCCTCGTCCTTTTTTGTGGATACAGGATGACATCCACACTGTCTACTATGCATGGGCAATGCAGCAAGTGCCACCCGACGAAATGGAGGAGGGGGAGATGCAGACTCGCTGGCGGTTAAGGGAGATGCAACAGCTAGGCATGCAGGCGATCATCTGAGAGGCGCATGATCAGAGGGGCGGTCACCATGCCTCCCCCCCTGTGTGTTTGTTGGTTTCCAAATTTTTTATTTTCTTTCTAGCAGATTTGTTGTTTCCATCGGCGAAATGAAAGGTTTCATGATTGTATCAGTTGGCTGAGTTTTTATTACTTTAATGGTGTTGCAGCGGAAGTTGTTCGTCTGTTTCCATCGGTTGAAATTCTTGAGACTCTAGTTCTTGTTGTTGAAATTCCAGTTGTGGCTGATATATGCTGTTGCTCTTTCTCCCATTACGCGTGGCCTTGGGGAAATGAAAATTCAAAATTTGTCGACTCTGCAATCTGTTTGTCGTCACGAAGAACGTGACTGCTGCCAGCTCTGTTCCATCCACCCATCTAGGTATAGGTAGTATACTACGCCATCAATCCGCAACCCTTCATCAGTAAGCCATATGGAGGCCATGCTCGATGCAGCAACTGGTTGGAGTGCCACAAAAACCCTTCACACCAGAAGACGGCAGTAGTTTGCGGGATGTGTATTCCATCACAATCTCAATGGCGTAGGGGGGCTATAGGGTTCGATGTGACTTTATATCAGCACCACAGGTTTTGGGGCTATTCCATCACAATCACGAACTCCTTGCAACATCCGAGCTGCACTGATGACAGCACCAGACCACAGGTTAGTTGGCAAGTGCTCACGAGTCTGGTGTTCTGTGCCAGAAAAATGCAGGATTCTGCAATCAGTGCTGCATTGTCGTGGGCGTGTTGTGGACCTTGTGTTCCTTCCGTTTGTTTGCTAGCTAGAAGCGCTTATGCACAGCAGGACTTTCACTGGTGTACGTGGCCATTCTGATTCCTAGGAAATCTCACAGCCGGAAGTTACGCACAGCCGAAATATGTCGTAGTCTGAGAATGCCCGAACATCTCGTGCCGGTGAATGCCTGGCCGTGGAAATCTCCGGCCTCGTGGACCAAAATGGGTGGCCGCAGCGAGTAGACCCTTTCTCGCTATGGTTCGGAAATTAAGGCATGGGCAAAATCGTGCACCAGAATAGGGAGGCTCGATTTGCTCTCGAAGAAGACTACTGGTACCTCTCGTGAGTCTGCGCAAGTGGAACGGAATATGGGGCATGCAACAAAGAAGACTGGCATGAATAGCCATATCCGGAGAGTGAGCGATTGTGGAGCCTCTTCATCAAGTCTATTCAGTAAGTGCATCTTTGCCCTAGCCTTGTATGTTGTTTTCAATTCTGCATGATTCTTTTCTGGTCTCTTCAATCTCTGCTGCTGGTCATCGTAGGTATTGTAGGTTGTTGCAGGCTACTGTTTGTTGTAGGTAGGTAGAGGCAGCCTGCAAAAGCAGCAGCGTGCAAAGTAGAATCACGGGTGTCAAGAAAGAAGACCATCCGGAGTAGGCTCCTTCCTGTATACCAGGAAGTGCCAGTCTATCTGGAGGCATTTGCGCCCAGTGAGGCCCTATCTCAGCAAGGGGACACTACAATCAGCTCAAGGGAGCCGTACTCCCCAGTGTGCAGGCAACCACACCACCACGAGTGCTGACCTGTCTGCGTCTCGAGGGGGAGTGTTGACCCCTCCCAGCCATGTCATCGTGTTTGCGAACATTAGATAGTTCCTGAGACCTGTGCGCCCTGTAGTCAGACTGGCGGTTGGCTGGGTATGGGTGTCTTCATAACCCAGTAGTGAGAACTATCCAGGCAAAGTCGATGAATTATTAGTTGAAGTCAGTGCGTTTTGGGTCTGGTTGTGGCTAGGTCTAGGTGGCGAGATGAACGGTCTAGGTAAAAGGAGATGGTGAGGCGGTAGCAGAAGTCGTCGATGGCTGTCAAAAGCACGAGAGGCCATCGGAATCTACGCCTTCCACTACCTCGTCACTTAGACGTACCCATGATGAGTGCAATGCTGACGGGCAACCTAACCGCGCAAAGTCGAAGCTAACTCCGTGGAACGACAGTGCAAGTGGACGGGCAGCATGGCCACAACACATTGATGCACAAGGCACTGCTAAAGCAGCCAAACCACATAGTACACAAGCAACAATGCATGGGATGACAAGGCATGTGGGTGGGCAGCAAGGCAACAGCACAGCGATGCACAAAGCGACACCAACAGTGCAGCCTGACTACACGGCAAACACACCAGCTGCAAAGAACGACATGGGAAGCAAGCGGGATGGGCAGCAAGGCAGTGGCGGAGCGCACACAAGACCGTCAACACATCCGACATGGAGTACAAGCAGTATATCACTTACGCCATAAGCGAACCCCGCAGACTGTTGGTTCCCAACACTGACCAAGCCGGGGAGTCACTCCGAGGAGCGTCCGTCATCCCCTGCAGGTCATACTGACATCCTGAACCGAGCAGTCCGCTAATAGTGTTGGAGGCACTCCAGACATGAAGACACTGACTGTTTGGCACTGTTTAGAGGTGCTCGCTTGAACACACAGAAAGTTCTTAGTAAAAAAGCAGGAAGAATGGCACAAGGAAAGCAACGAGAAATGCAGACAAACAAACGGAAAGAAAGACGGGCATGCCTGATTATGTGTGTGTGAAGCGTGTGAAGGGTGTGTGGACGTACGCATGCGAAGACATGGACGCTTCATCTGGTAGAGCTCATTCACTGATGCCAGCAAACCAGGAGAACTCTGGCAGGGATGGCTTTCGTTGGCGACGCAGGTACCACTTGTTTTAGGGTGCGTTTGCTGCGTAATTGAGGATGAGAAATCCTTCACCGCCGTATTGCAGGGGCTCTTTGGTTCTGCCGAGAGCAGTGCACTGCATAAACCAAGAGAGGGAAGAGGGTAGGAGGGTCGAATAGGTGGTGAAACAACCATCTCACGGGCTCTGTTAGCTGCTATCCGAGGCCAGCAAGGAGCGAACGCCTTCGTAATTTGTTACAGAAGTATGGGAGGGACAATCTATAGTGCATGGAGGCAGGCTACAGCACAAATCTAAGGTCCAGAAAGTGTTTGGTGCTTGCTAGATGGGATTCAAGTGCTAGATGATCCCATTCGTACAAGAACGCCAGTTCGTACAAGAATGACGCTCTGTCCTCTGAGCTAAGTAGGCTTAAAAAGATCGCCAGTTCGCAAAGGCCATAAGCTGTCTCTTATACACATCTAGATGTGTATAAGAGACAGGTGCAGGAGGGTCGAATAGGTGGTGAAACAACCATCTCACGGGCTCTGTTAGCTGCTATCCGAGGCCAGCAAGGAGCGAACGCCTTCGTAATTTGTTACAGAAGTATGGGAGGGACAATCTATAGTGCATGGAGGCAGGCTACAGCACAAATCTAAGGTCCAGAAAGTGTTTGGTGCTTGCTAGATGGGATTCAAGTGCTAGATGATCCCATTCGTACAAGAACGCCAGTTCGTACAAGAATGACGCTCTGTCCTCTGAGCTAAGTAGGCTTAAAAAGATCGCCAGTTCGCAAAGGCCATAAGCATGGCTTGATTGGTACAGAAGCAATGGCTAGATGGGATTCAAGTGGTAGATGATCCCATTCGTACAAGAACGCCAGTTCGTACAAGAA